TTTTTTTTCCTCAACGTGGATATTTTGTTAAATATTTAATTATTTATCCATTTATATGTAATAAAATTTGGCAACTGGGAGTGGTTTCTTGACTTTAACACCGCTACAAAAGATCAATTTTCTTTAAATTAACGTCATTGTTGAGCTCACAGTCACAGCGCACGAAATTTGAATAATAATAAATAAATAACAAATCAACAATGTAACTATTTATATCACTGTTGTAAACATCGGTCTAGGCGGCCGTTTAGGAGGCGCCTATGCGCTAGGCGGTGTCCGAGCGCCTCCGATTAAAATCGGCCAAGCAGCTAGGCGGTCTTGGCGGGCTCAACAGTCAGGCGGTTAGGCGGCGCCTAGGCGGGCTCGCGACAATTTTTCAGATTTTTTTTTTTTTATTTTTTTAAATATTAATTTACATTATTTTGTTCTCATGTTTTCTTTAAAATATATTAATTTGATTATTTGGACTTAGGTGTGTCGATTTATTATAAGTTGAGATTATATTATTTTGTAGGTACACTACAAGAAAATGATAAAATACCAACGGAAATCTATTTCAAAAGAATTATTCCAACGGTAATTTATATATTTTAAAGAAAATATAAATATTTAATATTGATTTCTAGGCGCCGCCTAAACCTCACCTAAACGCTCTAGGTGCTAGGCTCTGGTCGAGCGCCTAGCGGGCGCGTAACGACTTTGAGAACACTGTAAATAAAATAGTTGACAAATTAGAGATGGCTAAAAACTAACAAAAAATAGAGATGGCTATGCTTTCCAGCACGATTCCCACACGTAAAAGAGAAAAGCTGGTAAAATTTGTATTCTCCTCCAATTAATGGATGACGTACTTTTGCTTGCTCCCCAATTAATCTATAATTATGCTCACAAAAAGCCTATTTATATTACCATCATATATTTCAGCTGCTTCATTATTTCTGCATATTACTTTTTAACTATACTGATCAATTGGTCATCGACCTTGTTCAGAAGTTGATCGATCTCATATTCCTTTTTTCTAAAAGCAGTCGTCGATCGATCGATATATCAAGCCATGTCGACAGCTTCGGCTTGCCTTGCAGAAGCCTACACGACGATGAAACTCCATAAAGAGAAGATCATGAAAAATGATACGGATAAATCGGGTCGAGAACAAGAAGCAGGAGAAGAAGGCTGTAATGGATGTTTGTCCATGTTGATGTTCAAGAAAGTCTATCCAAATACACTGCCTTCAAATTATTCTATAAATGCAGGTTCTGATTACAACAATATAAGGAAGTTTGGTAATTGATACTAAAAAAAAAAAAAATAGTAATGGAATTTGGGTTGTAAGTCTTTAGTGATTTTTATGTGCTCATATATATATGATGTATCTTTTTTACATATATTACTTGTCATATACTTCTGCATATATTACTTTTGAATTTAATCTTGCCTTGTGTGTAACCTCAATACCATTAACAATATTAAGATATCGCCTTATCGCTCATTTGTGTAAATTTTGATTCTTTTTGGCCATGTTTTGGCTAATTTGTGTAAATTTTGATTCTTTTTGGCCATGTTTTGATTATTAGATGACAACGAATAGTGGGTAACCGATTGTATTAGCAAACGGTAATAACTGATTTGACCAATGAATTGTATTAGTCGTAATAATTGTTAAATAACATTTTGTATATCTATTTGAGAATGTTTATATTCAGGCAAATTTGCACCTAATATCACGACCTTTTTCGAAGTTGCAATTTAATCAAGACTTTTTCACTTTTGCAAATTTTATCACAATCTTTAATTTGTTGCAAACAGTTTGTAAACAGAGAAAAGTTGGTGTGGTCGAACAACAAACTGAAGATTGTGATATAGTTTGCATGAGATATGCAAATCGGTGTACCTATTTGCAACAAATTAAAGATTGTGATATGATTTTGCAAAAGTCAAAAAATCGTGATTAAATTGCAATTTCGAAAAAAGTCATGACATTAAGAACAATTTTACCTTATATCAACATGTTATTTTACGATTTTTTTTTCTTCTCAAAACGCTACTATATCTAATGTTTTCATAATTAGCAAATTGGAAACTCTAATCAAATAATCTCTTACCAAAATTAGTGAATTTAATGAGTTAAACCTCTAAACAATATTTAAGTCCGCTAATTTTATCAAATCTACTTATATTCAAATAAAGCCGATAGTTCCACATGAATTGATGGGAATCACTTATTTAGTTGCTTCAATTAAAGTTCAACAACTTAATTGAGTTGGTAGGACAAACACAAACGTACGTGTAATAACATCAAGATATGGTATTTAGT